AAAAAAAAAAAAAAAAAAAAAAAAAGAAAGGGCCCAGATGTTGGACTTAGCAAAGACTTCAAAGTAGCCACCAGAAACCCGCTGAAGGAACTGAAGGAAACCATGCCTAGTGAAGTGAAGGAAGGTATAATGACAGTGTCTCATCAGGTAGAGAATGGGAACAGAGAGAAATCATAAGAAAGAACCAAATGCTGAAGAGAAACTAAAACATCCTCACACAAAAACTTGTACACAAGTGTTCATAACAGCATTATTCAAATATCCATCAACTGATGAATGGAGAAAGAAAACGTGGTCTGTCCACAGCAGAGAATGTAATTCAGCCATGAAAAGGAGCAAAGTATTGACACAGGCTACAATCTGGAGGCGCTACCACGCCCGGATAATGTTTTGTATTTTTTAGTGGAGACAGGGTTTCACCGTGTTAGCCAGAATGGTCTCGATCTCCTGACCTCATCATCCACCCGCCTCAGCCTCCCAAAGTGCTGGGATTACAGGTGTGAGCCACCGCGCCCGGCCACGGCCTCCACTTTCATGCAGCAGAAAATGAGTGCACCAAACACCCTTGTAGGCTGTACCTGGATTTGCGTGATGTTTCCTTGGAGCTCGGTAGGGGTCTGAAGGGCCCACCTGTCCTTGCCCTCTGCCCCGGGGCTGCCCAGGAAGCCTGGTACTTTTCTCCACATGGCTACTCGCCCTCTGTCGGTACCAGCGGCCAGAAGACCTACAGGTAGAAACAAACTGCATGTGAACAGAGTTAAAAAAGGGAACTAAAACAGCAACAAGCTCTGTTCTCTGACCCCCTTCTTCAAAGCATCAGTCCTCGCCCAGCCCAGTGCCTCTTCACCTCATCCCTGGCTGCATCCTTCTGTTTAGGTCCTTGCCATCCTGACCTCACAGTGCTGGTGCGGGGGTGGTGGGGGATCTTCCTGCCCAGGTCCTTGCCACCCTGACCTCACAGTGCTGGTGCGGGGGTGGTGGGGAACGCTGCCCTCCCAGCTTTCCTAGAGGCCAGTCGGTCTGGCTTGGGTCTGCCCTGTGCTCAGCACTCAGCAGGCACTAGAGACACAGCTCTGGCTCACCTCCTAGTCTCCTGTGCTCTGGATGTGCATATGCACACATACACACATGTGCATGCACACACACACTTGCACACACACTTCCTGCACTGTCTTTCCTGTGACATTTCAGGAGCGAACAGAGATAAGTGAGCATGGAATTGGTGTGCCATGCTTCTTTTTAGACGGAGTCACGCTCTGTCACCCAGACTGGAGTGCAGTGGCACTATCTTAGCTCTCTGCAGCCTCAACCGCGCAGGTTCAAGCAATCCTCCCACCTCAGCCTCCTGAGTAGATGGGACCACCACTGTATACCACCACAGCTGGCTAATTTTTGTATTTTTTGTGGAGACAGGGGTCTCACTATGTAGCTCAGGCTGGTCTCGAACTCCTGGGCTCAAGTGATCCTCCCTCCTCAGCTTCCCAAAGTGCTGGGATGCAGGTTGTCATGCTTCTGATCAAACCCCTTGGCCTTCGTGTGGGACCACAAAGCTCTGCTGTTGCTTGCTTGCCCGACTATTTGATGGCTGTGAGTTATCGAGTTACCATTGTTTAAGTAGCCTCCACATTTCACTAGAATTATTTTGCAGCCCAAGCACAATGCTTGTGGTTGGTTCTGTTTCTCTCGTGCCAGGCCTGGAAGCCTCACCTTTGACTTGACAGTAACAAACACAGTTTATATTCTCTCCTTTCTCAAAGCCAAACTTCTCGTCTGGACTCAGTATATAATTCTCTCCTCGTTCTATATCCCAGAATCTACAACAGAAGAGAGTAAGCCCCATGGAGGGCCTGTGTTAGTGGTGTTTCCCTCTGAAGGGTTTTTGAACCTGTGGAGCAAAATTAAAAGTCAGGAAAAAGAAAGAGTTCATCAGACTCCTGATATGAAAACAAACACTATTATTACACTTAGGACATTTTATGTCCTGTTTATAATCAAAGAAAGCAGTTGCCGATAGAAGACGGTTTGTACATGGCAGGAGGTCACCACGAGACACAGGAACTGCAACCCTACGCAGAGCACGAGACGGCCCCGGAGAGCACACGGAGCTAACACAGCAGGCAGCAGAGAGACCAGAACGACCGATTCTAGTTATGCCACACTCCGAAAAACCAGGCAAAGAGATTCCACGGGCAGACACCAGGGAAGGGCCACCTGGAGGCAAGAGGACCCCCAAGGGAGCGCAGTGGAGTGGGACTCCTGCGGTCCCTCAATGCTTAGCTCCTCAGTCTGGGAGCTGGTGAATGGCTATGTCCAGTGTGTGAGCAGTCAGCATCATATGTGCAATTTTTTCTTTTTTTTTTGAGACGGAGTCTCACTCTGTCTCCCGGGCTGGAGTGCAGTGGTGCGATCTCGGCTCACTGCAAGCTCCGCCCCCCGGGTTCACGCCATTCTCCTGCCTCAGCCTCCCGAGTAGCTGGAACTACAGGCACCCGCCACCATGCCTGGCTAATTTTTCGTATTTTTTAGTAGAGACGGGGTTTCACCGTGTTAGCCAGGACGGTCTTGAGCTCCTGACCTCGTGATCGGCCCACCTCGGCCTCCCAAAGTGCTGGGATTACAGGCGTGAGCCATCACGCCCGGCCCCATACGTGCATTTTACAGTATATATGCTACATTCCAACACAAAGCCGACTTAGAAGAGCCTGTTCCTCAGAGAACTCTCAAAAAGGGCCACTGGAAAGGCAGACTCTCACCTGAGGGCAGTCTCCCCGACGGCCATCACGAGAAGGCTGCCTTCAATCAAAGCGATGTCTGCGCGGCGGCCGGTTTTCCCACTCAGCTTGACCTGTGTAAGGAAAGGCACTGTGCTTGCCGAGACGGCCTGTCCCGGCTTCAGGAGCCTGGAGTCTCTGGTCCACAGTGACTCCATGGAGACTCACCAAGCGGGGCAAATGCGGGGACAAATGATGGAGACTCTGCAAGGTGGCTTTGGGTTTTGAGATGTAGGGACCGAAGCAAACCACTACTCTCACACATTAAATAACGGCTACTGAGTGCATAGCGTGGGCAGGTGGCCATCGGTGGACACGCTCTGGAATGATCATGAGGTTGAGCTGGTGCTCCCTGTTCATCCAACCACACACTCTGGGCAGGCCTATCATCCCTGTTGTGCAGAGAACAAACCTGGCCAGGGCCCACCAGCCAGTGAGGAGCTGAGCAGGGTATTTAAAGCCAGGCCCATGGACTGAACTGCATGCTTCAAGCTCGTATGTGGGAGCCCAACCCCCAGTGCAACTGTATTTGCCTTCAGGAGGTACTTAAGGTTAATGAGACCATGAGGTGGGTGAGCCCTGGCCTGACAGGGCTGTGGCCGTGGAAGGAGACACCAGAGCTGGTGTTCACTCTCCCTGCCCGCCCTGTGAGGACACTGTGAAGAGGCCTCTGCAGGCTGCTTGGCGTGGGACATCACAGCCTCCAGAACTGTGACAAATGTCTGTTGTCACGTCACGCAGTCTGTGGTAGGTTGTTACGGTGGCCCAAGCTGGCCCCTGTGACAAGGTCCCCGTGACCAGTGCCTGTGTCCTCATCTGCCCTTACAGGGTATGTAAAGGACCGAATGAAGGCTGACTGAGGAAAAGTCAGCTCTGTCATCTGCAAGAGCATCTTTAGGGAAAGTTCAGTGGCCTCCAAGGAGCAAGGATTCCTGTGGAATAAATCAGCGGGAAGATGGGGATACGGTCGCCTGCCTGCTGAGTTCTGCAGGTGGAACGAGAGGCTGTGTGACTCTCTTACTTGCGCCCCAGGTCATGAGGGGTGCAGCTTGCGGGTGGGCCCAGGCTGTCTCCCATCAGGCCCCACATCCACCTAGAGAAGCAGGAAAATCTCCATCTCTTTTGTTTCCTTCACCTATCAACTGAATGTGGTATGATAAATAATGACATCGCTAGCTACGTTAGCCGCCCTAACACAGATGATAGGCTTTTATTCAGTCTTGCTATCCAAAAGAGAAAGGACCGTCAACGAGGCCAGAGAGAAACTGGCCCAAGTTTCCCTGTGTGAGCCCCCAAGCCCACTCCCACTCACCTTCATCACTTCTTCTGCTTCGCCCTCAGGAGGCACTGTGTACAGGGACAGTCGGAGGTTCTCCGTGACTACCACCAGTGCCTCCCTCTTCTCCATGTAGAACAGCATCTGAATCGCACTGTCTGCGGACACCACCTGAGTGGTCTTGCCCTTCTCATCCACATAGTGCACTGTCCCTGGGGGCAAACATGGGGTCACTACACGAGGAGGCCCTGGTTTATCCGCTTCCATGACCCTCACTGGCAGCCATTTCTATCAACTTAAGGACATTTTCAAAACAAAGCATCTTCAGTATAAGAACTTAAAAATGGGCCAGGCACAATGGCTCATGCCTGTAATCCCAGCACTTTGGGAGGCCGAGGCTGGTAGATCACCTGAGGTCAGGATTTCAAGACCAGCCTGGCCAACATAGTGAAATCCTGTCTGTACTAAAAATACAAAAACTAGCTAGGCAGACGTAGTGGCGTGTGCCTGTAATCCCAGCTACATGGGAGACCTAGGCACGGGTATCACTTGAATCCTGGAGGTGGAGGTTGCAGTGAGCCGAGGTCACGCCACGGCACTCCAGGCTGGGTGACAGAGTGAGACTCTATCTCAAAAAAAAAAAAAAAAAGAACTTAAAAATGAAGCATGTGACCTGACCTTACAGGTTGCAACCTCCACTTCATGGGTTCAGCTCGGCCTCAAGCTGTCTCTACTGATCCCTTCTCTGCCCCTGGCTTGGTGGGCTTCATGTCCACACTGCTGACCCTGCAGATCTGGCAGCCTCGGAGCTCTGTGTCCATCTCATACCCTCCACACACTGAGGCCCTAAATGACAAGCTCTCTCTGTGGCCACCGCTCCTTGACCCTTCTGCCCCGGGTGTCACTGCTGTGCCATCTGCCTCCTGCCAGGCTCTCTCTGGACCACCCTCTGTCAACCTCCACAAGCTGCTCCTGGTCCAAGCTACAGACTCGACTGTACCCAGCCTGGAATCCCCTCCTCCTGCCCTGCCTGAGCCTGCTCCAGCGCTGGCCAGCCACTCTGTCTGAAGGCCCTGTGTGAGCCTGGGGACTCGGGCTCACTTTTGCTGCTCTGCAGGAGACTCCTCTGGGCGCCTTCTCACCTGTCCCTCCCTTCTCATCTTTTCCCCACAGACAACGAGTTCTTATTTTTATTATTAATTCTTTTTTCAAGAGACAGGTTCTCACTGTGTGAGCCAGGCTGGAGTAAAGTGACATGATCATAGCCCACTGCAGCCTCAACCTCCTGGGCTCAAGTGATCCTCCCAACGAGGCCTCCCAAGTGACTGAGGCCACAGGCACGCACCACCATACCCAGCACAAGTTCTCATCCAACTGAAGAGTTCAAGTTTATCTAGAGGTGAATTGGGACACGAACTAGTATTTAATAAGTGCATAGTATGTGGCAGGCTCAGTTCTAAGCATCTTTATCTACCCCGGTGATAACTGGGTAGACACCAGTATTATCCCCATTTTCCACAAAAGGACATGAGGCACAGCAATGAACTCACCCCCAAAGCCTACAGCTCCCGGACAACGGGCAGAAATTCGCAGCCCACGTGCTGCCAGAGCCGGGCTCCTCCCTGGCACACACCCCCTCCTCCAGGTGACCAGCGCTTCTTCCTTGTGGGCCTCATCCCTACACCCCCTTCTCATTAGCCTTCCTAGGGGGGCCCTATCCTGGCATGCCCTCTCCTTGCCATCTCATGGTGCTGTACCCACTCGGATGTCCCCACTGGGATCTTCTCAATGTCCCCCCTCCATTAGCTCTATCTCTTCACCTTCTAAAATGAAAGATTTCCCTTATTTAAAAATTACAAAAACCACACAGCCCCATCTGTTCTCATCTGCTCTCTTCTTCCTGTCAAGATCTGGCTGCTTGCTGAAACCGACAGCAAAAGCCTCCTTTCTCCCGAGACCCGGCCACCTCTGTGTGGCTCTCATCTCCTCAGCCGCGCCAGCAACAGACACACCTGGGCCAGCGTCACATGGCTGTAAGAGATGCACTTTTTCTTTTAACTTCATATTGCATTTATTCCGGCCTTGGCTAGGCAGCCTGTCCCCCTCGTACAGTGAGGAAGAGCAGGCTGAACACCAGACACACGGTGCCCAGCGCTGACCTCCCCATGAAGGCTGGCCAAGGGCTGTAGGCTGGAGTGAAACCCCTGTCCTGCTCACACCTCATTCCTACACCCTAGCCAAGTACCTGGCATACAATAGGTACTTGATAATTACACAGACTGAACACCAGGGGTGCCACCAAAGAATCTTTCCAAAACTGTCCCTGGTGCCATCCAGTCAGCCTGTAACTGCTGATTAAAAGCCTCCTCATGAAAACCCTTCAAACACAAGCAAAGCTCAACTTATCGATAAAAACAAAGTGAGGGCAACATTTCAACACTGGACGGATGGCTGAGAGAGCGGCTGTGACTCCGCCCAGCACAAGTCATCCTTCTGCGCAGCCTGCAGCTATGACCATTACTGTTCTGTGCAGAAACACCGTCTGTGAGTTCAAAATCCCTATCAGATACCCCTAAAACACTAGGACCCCTGAGAATCACAACCAAAGTTCCTCACCATCCATCAGACTGACAAAGAATGACAGCCCCTCCTGAGACCCCATCTTCAGCAAACTTCCAGAGCTGCTCTTCTTCCAGTTAAACATGTCCAGGGCTTTCTCATCACCACTCACAGCTGCCTTCGCCAACTGAACCAGGTCCCTGAAAGCAAACATGACACGAAGTCAAGATTCTTCCGCCTCTCCTACAGCGACTCAGGGCTGGGGTCCCTCCTGGGTCAGGAGCAGCCCGCTTCCCGCTTCCCCCTGATGTAAACATATGCACGGGTCATGGTGCAAGCCCCACACTTACTCGCCAGGAGGGGGGAGCCGGAAGATGCAGTGCGTGAGGGGTTTCCCATACTCGTGTTTCAGCAGGGGCGTCCCTTGCACTCGGCCCCTTTGGTCCAACCTCCACAAGAGCAAGACACCAAGCTGGAAAGACCCAACACCACGTGGTAGGACAGGTGTCCTGACAGAATGACTGGTGGGAGGCAAATGTTAAACTGTGCAACAGGATGCATATTTCTTTTTAAAAAAATTACAAAACTACTGTGTATATATCATAAAAATTTCAAACTATTCAAGTCTTTAAACAAAGAACTGGAAACTCCTATAGAATATCTCCACATCTTCATGCCTAGAGATAGCAACTGCTATATATTCAAGTTTTTAAAATAAACTTTTTTTTTTTTTGAGACTGAGTCTCACTTTGTCACCCAGGCTGGAGTGCAGTGGTGTGGTCTTAGCTCATTGCAACCTCCGCCTCCTGGGTTCAAGCAATTCTCCTGCCTCAGCCTCCTGAGTAGCTGGGACTAAAGGTGCCCACCACCACACCTGGCTAATTTTTGTATTTTTTTGTAGAGACAGGGTATCACCATGTTGGCCAGGCTGGGACACCATGTGACATCTGGCCGCCGTGTCTCCTCGGGCTCCTCTGGGCTATGACAGCGTCTCAGGCTCTTTATCTTAAGGCACTGGACAGTTTGAGACCTGCTGGCCTGGTATATCATGGGATGCCCCTCCACTGGGATTGTTGATAGTTTTCCTCATAGTTGACTGGGGTGGAGGGCTTGGGGAGGAGGAACACAAAGCTGAGGCGCCTTCTCTGCATGCTGCATCCCCATGACTTGTCACTGCCGGCATTGACCTTGACCACCTGGTGGAGGTTGTACTTGTGGGGTCTCTCAACTGTGAAGCAGCTCTTCCCTGGCTCCCCCTCCATCCTGTACTGTTCAGAAAGAAGTCACTCTCTGCAACGCACACTTGAGGGCTGGGAGTTACACACCACCCTCGGGGTGTAGCATCCATGTAAACCACCTGGGCTTCTTCAGCACGAGACATTTGCCTCTTCACCACCATTAACTCATTCATTCAATCCTGTGTTGCATCAGGGTGGACACATGGGTATTTACTTTCCACGCTGGGTTACCATCCAAGGCTGCCTCGTATATTCTGCTGCTCACAACGTGCCAGCTTTAAGCTCTCTAGTTGGCCTCTGTGTCACTTTGATGTGCCCCCATCACGTGGGTTTGGTGAGCACTTCCTTGCTGGTGCCCTAAGATTACCTAGGCTCATTTTTCAATTTTTTTTTTCTTTTTTGAGACAGGGTCTCACTCTGTCACCCTGGCTGAAATGGAGTGGTGCAATCACTCCATCCTGAAGCCCTCCGCCTTCCAGGGCTCCAGTGAGCGCCTCCCACCTCAGCCTCCCAAGTAGCTGGGAATAGAGATGCTCACCACCACAGCCAGCTAATTTTTGTATTTTCTAAACAGATGGGGTCTCACTATGTTGCCCAGGCTGGTACCAAACTCCAGGGCTCAAGCAATTTTCCCACCTCTGCCTTCCAAAGTGCTAGGATTACAGGTGTGAGCCACAGCACCTGGCCTAGGTTCATTTTTCTGTTCTAGCCCTGGAATCAGCCATTTCTCCAAGGAGCCGTGGTTGTTTACTGGAGAATGTGGTTAGAAGCGAAGTCCTCGTGCCGTGTACACTGCACACTCAATTTAAAATCATCACAGTCGCAAATGCGCAGCACAGACAAGTGCGAGTGAAGATCCGGGAAGGGGAAGATGGCTCCATGGGGACAGCTGGTGGGGCCTCCCAGGACTGGGGGATGCAGTTAGGTGGTGCCCAAGGGCAGCATCTCAATCTGAGTCCATGTGCATGGCTCTTCTGCTCTGATGCCAACGACTCCCCAGGGGACGCTTCCTGGCCCAAAACTGGGAGACACTTTAGCCCACAATATGCTCTTCTTCCCACCACCCTTTCAGGCAGCACTGACTCCAATCTCCCCAAATGCTGGATAACACGGTTTTTATTGTACACAGGAAGAGCATTTTCACATAATGTCAGATTTAAAGGAAACTTACAGACTGGGCTCGGTGGCTCACGCCTGTCATCCCAATACTTTGGGAGGCCAAGGCCAGCAGATCATAAAGTCAGGATTTCAAGACCAGCCTGGCCAGCATGGTGAAACCTCATCCCTACTAAAAACACAAAATTAGCCGGGCATGTTGGTGCGTGCCTGTAGTCCCAGCTACTCGGGAGGCTGAGGCAGGAGAATCACTTGAACCCAGGAGGAGGAGGTTGCAGTGAGCTGATATTGCACCACTGCACTCCAGCCTGGGTGACAGTGAGACTCCGTCTCAGGAAAAAAAAAGGAAACCTACACAAGAAACCTCTAAGAAAGGTTTTGCAAGATCTAAAATAGCATGTGGCACATAAGTACACGTCATAGAAACAGTGTATATTATATGATTCTTGACTAACAGCTTGGTGAAGACAAGAATAAAAACACAATTGGTAGGCCAGGCACAATGGCTCATGCCTGTAATCCCAGAACTTTGGGACACCGAGGCGAGCAGATCACTTGAGGTCAGGAGTCTGAGGCCAGCCTGGCCAACATGGCGAAATCCTGTCACTATTAAAAATTCAAATATTAGCCGGGCGTGATGGCACACGCCTGTAATCCCAGCTACTTGGGAGGCTGAGGCACAAGAATCGCTTGAACCCAAGAGGCAGAGTTTGCAGTGAGCTGAGATCCCACCATTGCACTCCAGCCTGGGTGACAGAGCTTAAAAAAACAAACAAACAAAAAACCCACTATTGGTGTTTTTGTGTTTAGTAAATTTTTTAAAAATATTTTTAAAATAATGCTTGCATATTGAGAAAAAGCCCCACCTAACGATAGAAATGAAAATGAATGATCCCCCATCCCCCTCCCAGCCTCCTCCGTGGAGCTGAGGACTGCAGTGGCTCCCGTGTCTGCAAAGCATTTTATGTATACCACATCTTCAGGGGCATTCATTCCTGTGCCCTTCACGTGTCATCTGCTAGTTTTTTGTTTTGTTTTTTTGCACAAGTGACTTTAGAGATCTTTATTAGCACACACAAGCTTCTAGCTGACCACTTAACCAGCATTCTGAACCTCATCAGACAGGCTGATGTCCATGTTTCTAGGCTGCCACCTGGAATGTCCAAGTTTCTAGGCTGCTGCTCTGGGGGAAGAGGTTGTTGGACGCAAATGTTTAGAGCGCCTGCACCCAAAAGCAGAGATCTTTGCTCAGGTTGATGAAAGTAAACCCTCCGTCTGAGAGAGGGACGGGTGTCTACTATCAAGAGCTCAACTTCCACCAACTCAGGGGAAGGGAAGTCACAGGACACAATGAATCAAATATTCCTGATCCTTAGGTTTCTGCCCAACGATCCTGGAATATGAGCATGAAGTACAAGATGTAGAACTGAGCCTGAGGCACCTCCACCTCCTCGGCTGCACCCTCTGCTCCTCACCCCTGACTCTAGCATTGAGCTGCCCCGGGGTCCAGCCTTGGGTCTTCTCCGCCTTCATTTTTTGTACCTCTCACCACTCTTGAGGGGCGTCTCCCCACCATCTGTGAATTCTACATTATTTCACACAGTATAATTTTATACAGTCAGACCCTAAAGAAAAGCTACCCCAAAGGTGAGAAACCAGCTTCTCCTTGTGAAGAGCCAGAGTTAAGTAGACTAAGGGACTAACGGGAAAGTGACGTGCGTGGATGAGCGTCTTGGGGGCGCATCATGGTATCAAAGCATGAGTTAAAGTGCTGGTTCTGCAGCGGCACGTCACTGGGAAGAAGCTTTGCTAAAGGCTGGCTGGCCCCACATTAGGGTGTGAATCAGGTGAGGGTTTACTTGACCCTCAGACTTGGCTTCGCGGGAGCTCCTGAGAAAACATGAGTGGCCTGGCCCCTTTAACATGCTCTCCTCTTCTCTACTGATGGGACTTCTGAGGACGCTCAGGGGGATATCCCTTTCTAGGGATCGCCCGCCTCCCTGGTTACTGCTGATTGGTGCACTGTGGGCACTTGGCCCGAGCTGGACTTTGGGGCCCCTCCCTGAGTCTGGACTTGGGACAGGGAGCAGGAGCAGGCCGTCCTAACCTGGCCGTGTTCTCCTGGCAGACTGTGGGATACCCCAGTGGCCTCAGGCTAAGTGCACTTCTAACTTCAGCTGGTCTGGGCTGATTCCACTGGTAACCACAACAGGGTTTCTGGTGGAAGAGCGAAGGGGAAGCCCCTTGTATCAAGTCTAGGGAAGAGATGTCTCTGCGGTGTGGAGTTCCGAGTGTTGTTCCCTCGTTATTACTTCTCTTCCTGCTTGAACTCATTATTAAATTAATTCCAGCACAATCTCAGATTTTCTTAGAAGGATTAGGCATTTCTGCTCTTAAATATTCTGACTCACAAGACTTGATCAACTGATACCTGGGTTTCATTTTATGCCTGGATGATCTATTTTGCTAGCTGTTTCTATCTCTCTCTTTTTTTTTTTTTTTTTACAAGAGATGGGGTCTTGCTATGTTGCTCAGGCTAGACTCAAACTCCTGGGCTCAAGTGATCCTCTTGGCTCGGCCTCCCAGGTAGCTGGGACTACAGGTGCATATTACTATGCCTGGCTTAGTTGTTTAATACAGTCAAGCTGAGAATTACAAAAGTCAATGATCCTGAGTTATTTTATACTAATGTGGGATTGGCAGACGATTCCACTGCAGGAAGTGGGAAAGATCACCAAGGAAGTAGAAATCTGGGGGCAGGCCAATGTCATTAGGTGGGAATTGAACAGAAAAATGGAAGAGTCATCCAGAAAAAGGGAACAACCTGATAGAAAAATCGGCAAATATGGCCGAGCGCGGTGGCTCACGCCTGTAATCCCAGCACTTTGGGAGGCCGAGACAGGCAGATCACGAGGTCAGGAGACAGAGACCATCCTGGCTAACACAGTGAAACCCTGTCTCTACTAAAAGTACAAAAAACTAGCCAGGTGTGGTGGCGGGCACCTGTAGTCCCAGCTACTCAGGAGGCTGAGGCAGGAGAATGGCGTAAACTCGGGAGGTGGAGCTTGCAGTGAGCTGAGATCTGGCCACTGCATTCCAGCTCTGGGCGACAGAGCGAGACTCCATCTCAAAAAAAAAAAATAAACAAATAAATAAAAAAGAAAAATCGGCAAATAACATGACCAGAAATAGAAACACAAATGGCTCCTATAAATGATATTCATCCTTGATAGCAAGAGAAACATAAATGAGAATTCTAAGAAACACTTAGACCCACCAGGGAACTGTTCTGGATGAAAACACTCCGAGATACGACTTTTCTAAGCAGTTCTGCTACTCAGACGCAACTCTCTAGGGAGAGGCTGGTGTGCACTATGAGCTGGTCCAGGCCCCGAGGACAGTGGTTTGGGCATCTGCTAAGCCACAGGGCATGCCCTGGACCCATCTGCACCCCCTTCTCAGTGCTTTTCTAAATGTACACATGTGCGAAATGGCAAAAGCACCAGGTTACTCACTGCTCCACTGTCTAATTAGCAAAGATTGAAAACCACCGAAATGTTAATCAATAGGGGCTGGTTCAATAAATTATAACATTCATCTAATGAAGAACCGGCTTAAAGAAAACAAGGAAGTTCACTATTTACCCATATGGAAGAATCACCAGGATACGCCGTAAAATGAAAAAAGCAAGAAACATGACAGTGTGCACAGGACGCCACCACTTATGTGAAAAAGAATGAGGAAATCAGAAGACAATGTCCTCTATGCGATATTTCTGCCAAAAATGTTTGAAATGAAAGTATTATGAGGAGACAAACACAGCCAACTTGAGTGACAGTCTATAAAACAACCAGTCTACATCCTCAAAACGTCAATTTCACTAAAGACCAAAAATAAAAAATAAAAAAAAGAAAGGGAGGAAAAAAGGAAGGAATGCAGGCAGACTAACCAATCGACTGCCCAGGGAATTGTTCTTGATTTAAAAAAACTAGCCAGATGTTGTAGCTCACGCCTGTAATCCCAGCACTTTGGGAGGCCGAGGCAGGCAGATCTCTTGACGTCAGGAGCTTGAGACCAGCCTGACCCACATGGTGAAACCCCGTCTCTACTAAACATACCAAAAATTAGCTGGGTGTGGTGGTGCACGCCTGTAATCCTAGCTACTGAGAAGGCTGAGGCAGGATAATTGCTTGAACCCAGGAGGCAGAAGTTGCAGTGAGCCGAGAATGTGCCACTGCATTCTAGCCTGGGCGACACAGCAAGAGTTCAAAAAAAAAAAAAAAAAAAAAAAAAAAAAAAGAGACTAGAGAGAAATAACAGTGAAATACAATGTATGAGCCTTTACTGGATCCTGCTCTAAAGGACATTCCTCGGACAGCTGGAGAAATGTGAATATAAACTGCATCTTGGATGTCAGCACTGTCACTGTTTCATTTCCTGGAGTGTGAGAACTCTACTGTGGCTGTGTAGGGAATGCCCTAGGCCTTAGGAGAGTAACGTCTAAATATGCAGGGCTGAAGCATCATATCTGTGATAAACTCACAAATACTCAGGAAAAATACCCGTGTAGCAAGAGGGAAAGCAGACCTGGCAGTGGGAATGGCTGGCGAATAGACACAGAGGGTGGATGCATGTCCTTGCACTGTTCTTTCAATTCCACCCATAATGTAGAAACTCCAAAATCTCAAGTGAGAGAAAGAATGCATTTGTGTGTGCCTGAAGAAGCAGGAGAGGTGGTAAGAAGCCGTGTGTGCTGGAAGGCAGCAGCCAGGGGACTGAGGAGACAGGACATGGCTCAGTCTTCACTCTGGATGCCTGTTACTCTTTTTGAATCTTGGAACATGTGAATGTGTTACCTGTGGTTAATTAAGTAAACACATTATAACATTTCTGCCATACATTTGTGATTCAGTTGGCTCTGCACTGTGTCACTCTGCTGTGGGTCTGTCCTGCACGCTGTGCGATGGTGGGCGGCGTCCACCACCCACTGGGGTCCAGCAGAATTCTCCCCCCAAATTGTGACAACAGAAAATGTGACTGGACACTGCCCCATGTCCCCTGGGGGACAGAATCAACCCTGGTTAAGAAGCCCTGAGCTAGACAAACAGGCTTTGGGAAAAGTGACAGAATCTGGGCGCTTATCTCATCTTTACGAATGTGTTTCCTAGCAAAGTTCACTTACAAAGGTGCAGACACACCTTTGCCACAGAGCGGCAAATTTTCAAGCCTTGCTTCCAATATAAAACAAAATCTACAATTGCATCTGACAAGATCAACTGAATTTGGCAACAACACGTTTCACGTATTTTTATCTTTCATACTCTTGAGCATGGTCAGAAAAGGCCAAGATCTGAAAACAGCGTCTCACGTGCATTGACTCACCCTGTCCCCAGACAGCAGGCAGTTTCCACTGGGGCTCCAGCTGAGCACGGTGATGTCGGCTGTGTGTGTCGGGGGCATCGTGTGCTGCTCTTTGTCCTGCTTGTTAAACACTGTCACTTCTCCAGTCTCCCAGCCCATAGCCAGCACCAGCCGTGTCGGGTGCCAGCACAGGGAAGCAACTCGGAATGGCCTCTCGACATGTGTATCTGGCACACACTCCCCCTGCATTGGACAAGAGGCAAAATCCCGCAGTTCAGAAAGCGACAGCTACTTTTAAGAACTTCTGTCTAGGCTGGGCATGGCGGCTCACTCCTGTAGTTACAGCACTTTGGGAGGCTGAGGCGAGTAGATCACAAAGTCAGGAGTTCGAGACCAGCCGGGCCAATTCGGTGAAACTCTGTCTCCACTAAAAATACAAAAATTAGCCAGGCATGGTTGCTACTTTTTGTATATTTAGCAGACACAGGGTTTCCTCATATTGGCCAGGCTGGTCTCAAACTCCTG